CCCAGTGGCATCTTTGAAAAGGTTCTGTGACAAAAACGTATCTTTATTGCCCCCAATCAAAATCTGTGGTAGGCCTCTTCTTTATTACATGCATTTTACTTTAACATGCAGAGAAAAAGTATCTGGAGACAACTATGCCAAGGGAGAGAAGGGAAATCTGGGCAAGAACTTACAGGCAGGCAGTGTGCATGGCCCTACTTTAGAGCTGCGCAGAGGGGTGGTCCACGTCCATGTCCTTGCTTCTTGATCTTAAGCCACCTAGACTTGTCATGAGGGCATAGAAGAGGAGATGATGCATAACCCTGTCTCGAACAAAGGTGTTATTTAGTGAGCCTTGCCAAGGTTGCTGGGGCATGAGGCCAAGGCCTCCTGGGAGGGGATATACTCTCCAGTATCATCTTTACCTTTGTGACTGCACAGATGAAGGCAGCCAACACTGACCCCATTCACTCTGGCCGGCTAGATATAGGCAGGTCAGGTCCCAAGTCCCAGTGTAATATAGGTCTGTCAATGGCACAAAGCCCTATTGTTAATACAGTCCTCTGCTCACACTCAAGATAAGGGTAACAACCTGTCCTTCGACTACACAACTTTCTTCCTCTACACACATCTGCTTTTTCTTACAGCTTTCCTATGAGCATGTGATCACTGCAATACTGAAAAGAGACTGTGGCTCGATGATGCTTCAGACCTGTCCTCCAGGTAACCCAAACCCTCCTCAATCTACTGCTGGGACTTCTTAGGCTGTCTTTAAGCTCTTTCTAGCAGATTTCAGAAAAGCTGTGGACCAGGTGCCAGACAAGGTAGAAGCCATGGTTATAACCACCAACAACTTTAGGAAACTGGAACCTCATACCCACAAAGACTGGGGTTCTGGGTTCACCCTCCCTCTGATATCTTTTCTGCCTGGGTAGGGAAAGCTGAGTCATGCTTTAAAAGAAACTTGGGTTCCACCATTACTATAACAACTAGAATAAATATTGGGAATTCTAGAATGGTGTCTCAATAAGTCTTTATGGGTTAGGAAGTAATTTTCAATACAAACATTGGATAGAAAAGCCTGATAATTAATACCAAAAAAATCTATGTATCAATCTGGGGCAAGTGCTTCCTAAACCAGTTGAACTGATTGGTCACCCAGATTGGTCAGGATGAAAATTCCCAAGAGCTCGAATTTTTATATTTATAGATATGGATATGGTACACTCAAAAATTCTGGAGATAAGCTATGACATTTACATAAAATAAGGGAGGGTAGAGGGAATAGATTTTAGCTTTACTCATTGTGAGGCTGGAGAGCCTCGAGTAATGACCGTGAACAGCAAGCCCAGCTGTGTCTCACTGGGCATGGCTTATAATATTTCTCTCATACAGACCAGCTGCCTCAAACT